CTCTGATGCGATGAAATCGCATGAATCAGCTTTATGACTAGAATCCATGAGAGAAAAACTTGATTCAATAGAAAAGAATAAGGTATGGGAGTTATGTGATCTACCGAAAAATAAAAAAAGTCATAGGGTACAAATGGGTGTTTAAAAAGAAATATAGTGTTGATGGATCTATTGATAAATTCAAAGCACGGTTAGTTGCCAAGGGTTACAACCAGAAAGCATGAATAGATTTTTAGTAGACGTATTCTCCTGTAGCTAAATTTGCATCCATTAGAATTATTTTGTCTATTGTTGCATATCTTGATTTACGTATTCTCCTGTAGCTAAATTTGCATCCATTAGAATTATTTTGTCTATTGTTGCATATCTTGATTTGAAATTATTCCAAATGGATGTTAAAACTGTATTCCTTAACGGAGAGTTGAAGGAAGCGATATATATGCAACAACCTGAAGGTTTTCAGGTGAAAGGACATGAACATAAAGTTTACAAATTAATGAAATCTCTATACGGTTTAAAATAGTCTTCTAGACAATGATATCTCAAATTTCATGATACAGTCCCTAAACTTGGTTTTATTCAAAATAAATTAGATAATTGTGTGTCTCTTGAAAAATAGGAGTGAATTTACTATATTATCCTTATATGTGGATGATATATTGCTCGTTGGAAATGACATAGAAATGTTGAATAAAATCAAGGCAGATATCAGCGAAAAGTTTGAGATGAAAGACATGGGAGATGAATCATATATTCTTGGAATTCAAATAATTCGAAATAGAAAGTCTAGCATGCTAAGTTTAAATCAAGAAAAATATTTAAGATCGGTTCTTAAAAGGTTTGGAATGGAGAATTCCAATCCGACGCCAACTCCGTTAGTCATGGGAAAGAGATTATGTAAAGAGCAAAGCCCTGGAAAGGGACAAAATCCATTAGATGTTCCTTATTCTCAAGCAATTGGAAGTTTAATGTATGTAATGTTGTGCACCAGGCCTGATATAGCTTATGCTGTAAGTCTAGTCAGCCGATATCAAAGTCATCCAGGACCAGCACATTGGGAAGCTGTTAAAAGGATTATGAAGTATATCAGAGGTACATTGACTCATAGATTAGTTTTTCAAGCCGATTCGCTTGATCTCCTCGGTTACTCCAATGCTGATTTCGGAGGTGATAAAGATGATGGAAAGTCCACTTCAGGACACTTGTTCATCTTTGAAAGAAGAGTTGTTTCTTGGAGTAACAAGAAATAATGGTGTATTGCTAGATACACACAAGAACCTAAATATATAGCTTGCAGTATGACAACTACATATGTTGTCTGGATAAGACGATTTTTGATTGATTTAGATCTCAATTTGTTAGAAGGACCTAATGATATTTATTGTGATAATCAAGCAGTAATTAGCATAATCAATAATGCCGTGAATAGCTCTAAAAGAAAACACATTGAGATCCAGTATCACTATATTCGAGATATTGTAGAAAATGAAGAAGTTAAAGTGACTTGTACCTTACTACAGATATGATTGTTGATCCTTTGGCAAAAGGAATACCAACAGAATCTTTTATCAAACGTGTAAGTTTGATGGGACTTAGGAATAAATAAATCCAAATAAAATTTTATGAATAATAAAATAAAGAGTTACTCTCTATAAATAGTAGAAGTAATGGTAAGAAGAAACATCTGATCTCACGGATAGTGGGAGACATGTCACTTGGTTAATTTGGTCAAATGGGAGATGTTATCTTGACTCGGTCTTGTGTGACCAAATCAACGTTTCTTAGTTGAGAAAAACGTGTTAAATGGGGTTGTTGAGAGAAAATCTCTCAGAGATAGTTTTGAGGGGGTGGAGTTTTGAGGGGGTGGAGATGATGGGTTTGGCTTCTATAAAAGATGAAATGTCCTCCTTGAGAAAATATTATACAAAAACAAACCTCCCTACCTGTTACCGGAGCCCCTCAAAGAAACTCATCGTCATTTCCTCTCTTCTTCGTTCACGTTCAAGATGATTATAATCAAGGACTCAGGAGGATCTTTAGCAAAAGGTAATCATTCAATTTCAAAATCATAATCATAATAATAATAATAACAGCAACAACAACAACAACAGGGTAACATACTAAGAAATCCTTTATTTTACAACTCTATTTCTCTCTCTTATTATTATTTCGGTCTCATATTTTAGAGGAACCTAATTGTATAATAGTATATATTTTTGAAGATGCTGACTCAGATTATTTTGGATAGAAGTTGTTGGGCTGGTTTTAAGTAGCGGTGTTTGAACTAATAACTGGGCTGTCATTGACATCGACCTTTACAAATTCTAATTATAACTTTATTTCGTGTAAAGAAACCAATAGCCACTTATTTAATACAAAAATAAGCTAAAACTGTAAAAATCTTATCAGCTGCATTGTTACGGGCATGTCTTTGGGGAAATTTCTTATCCTACAACTTCATGCAAGCCTCTATGCTTATGTTTGTCACAGTTTTTGTTAAAGAAAAATGCCTCAGGGACCCCAAAATAGGGGACCCTGAGTGAGACATGCGAGGTGTCGTCTCTCTGTCCCGTGATGCACTGTTTATGAACAGTGCATCACGGGACAGGGAGGCGACATCTCACATGTCTCACTCAGGATCCCCTATTTTGGGATCCCTGTAGCAGCACGCTTTGTTAAATTGCTCATGCATCGTTTATATAAGGAGGTCATCATAAATAAGAACGTTGGGATTTTGCATCCACCCTTATATTCTCAAACAGAAATAACCTAATTTATTATTTATTTATTTTTCATAATCCAGCCCGAAATTGAACGTAAGACCATGGGAGTCATATACATCCCAACCATCTAAGTCATCAGTGTTTGGTAGAAATAACCGAAGTATGAAAACCGTACAATTTAGTAGTCTAAACGAGGTATGCAAACAGATCGGATATGGATGAAATATGATACTCGTCATATTCATATTTGCTTACTAACTATGAAGGTAGATCCAAATACGAATTTCTCGATAGGAATAATACATATCCATATACACCAAGATAAAATACGGATACAAATAAAATAAAAAAAATACCCCTATGCAAATCTAGATATTTATTAGTAATTCATATCCTTATAAAAAGACCCCTTATACGGATTCCTTATTAGCAAAAGGTAATTCATATCCCAATTCATATCTTATAAAATTAATACTTAAAAGCAGACATCAGGAGAGGATCAAGGACCAGATACTCCAATTTTGGGCTTGGAATGGGCTTTTCAACAGTGAAGAAACCTACATTGGTGCGACTTGAAGTGCTTTTGTGCATTCTAAATTAAACACGCAAACGTGTATCAACAGTAAACACCTACATCCTTCATGCCATAATCAATAAAGAGGCTCTATAACCTTATGACATCGTCTACTTGTAATCTAAAACAAGATTATCTAATCTTAATACTATTTAGATAGGTTAATGACACAATAGAGCATTTACAACGAATACATCACGTATGCACGCGCTTTTTTTTAAGAGAGGCGCTACAGGCACACTCTAAGGCACACCACCAACCACACTCCCTCTCTCTCTACAGTGCAGGTGGCCCCACATGTGATTTTTTAAAAAAATCATATGTGGGGCCCCCTGCACTGTAGAGAGAGAGGGAGTGTGGTTGATGGTGTGCCTTAGAGTGTGCCTCTATCATTTCTTTTTTTTTAATGGACAGTATGGAGCTCAACATCATTATAATGACACCCGCATGCTTCATGCCAACCCGATGCCAATATGTCTCAACAATTTTCGTATGCTACATGGTCAATAAAACAAGAAGGTTAATATATATTTTGATATTTATTGAATGTTGTGGTGGAAGTAATTTCTACATTTGCATGGTTTGCATGATTTGCTGGAGAATGAATTATTTTCTTAAGAAAAGGAAAATTAAAGCGTGAAAAGCGTTGTGGGTTTGGTGTGTGTCGACACAATTAAGAAGCACGAATGACTCGAGTTTACATCAGAAAGGGACCTTTTGACACAGGCAGAAAAGGTGGAAGCCCTTTTTCTCCATGCCTAAGGCTAACTCAAATGTTTGGCAACATATGCAACAATAAAGGTAAAATATTTAAAATAAAAGAAATAAGAAACAAAAGGAAAAAAGTTTTTTTTTTTTTTAGCTTTGCTATATGGACCTAAAATATGGGACCAACATGGGGGACAAGTGAGATGCCCCCCTCCTATTGCATAATAAGTTGCTCATCATTACAGTGACCAAAATATGAGACAAACTGGGCAACTCATTATGCAATAGGAGGAGACACCTCACATGTCCCTCTATTGGTCTCATATTTTAGGTTCCTATAGCAAAGCTCTAAATGTTATAAAAACCAAATATCATCAAGGTTGACCACTTGGAAGCCTTATCCGCCCAAAAGTTGAAAGTCTGATACGAATGAAGTAAATAAATAAATAAACAAAAATGCAGCCACTTTTAGTGGCCAACATATCTTTGAGTGCGCTCTAAGATTTACTCATCACTTTTTTTATTGCATCTTCATACTTGTCAGGATTACTATAAATTTTGGTCATATGTAGCCGGCCATAAAAGCGAAAGAATACAAGTATTGTCCATCATAGAATTTCATAAAATGGAACAACTTCGTTGACGAAAGCTTCTAACTATAATTTTAAGTTTCTATTTGTTAATGCATCCAATTTGGCTTTATTAACGTCATCACTTCGTTGTTTTCATCAGCAAGTCTACAAGTTGTGATCTAGTAGCCTAACACGTCAAGCTCATTATCGTCATGTCTCAGCCGAAAACTTAAGGGTGTCATTTGCATTTCTTTAAGAAAAATATAGTTCTTTTATATTGTATTGCATTGAAATAATTTGGTCACTTTGCATTATTTAAGAAGTGGATAATGTATTTATATATTAAAAATTAGAAGAAATCATCCAAATGTACCTTGGAATTTAAGATAATCAAGCAAGGAAACATGCTTGACAACAATAAGATAGCAAACTAGATTCCTTTCACATAATGCCCATGATGTAAAAGCACACGCTAGTGAATAAATAACAAAAAAGCGCCAACGTACATTTGGAATCATCACAAAAGAAGACTTAATTTGTTTCCATCAAGTTCTCAGTAAAATACCATGTAGCTTGGAATCATCAAGTTCTCAGTAAAATAGCATACCTTCTGGCATTTGATGCATGAAGATATCCCTCATCGACAAAGACTATTGAACCTCCACTCTTGTGAACGCCAGAAGTTGTGATCGCCGATGAATATAACCTTGTGATGAAAGTCTTCGCCACAACAGCAAAGATTTTGTTCGAAAATTTTAGCTCATTGGCATGCTGATACAGTTGAAAGTGATGGGAATCACAGCCGTGTTGCTTCCCTGTGCAAAGGATATCACTATCAGCAAGAGAATATCACAAAGAAGAAAAACATCGCGAAAAAAATATAAAGCGTAATAATTTTCACATATGGACCATGTTAAAGAGAAACAAGTACAAGTTTGGCCAAAAATAGAATCAATCATATTATTCATGCTTCTGATAAGGACAGGTCTTTTACAAAGAGAATGCTCCATTGTGAACCTGACTTTGTTCATAGATGCCTTGCTTGTTCAACATGAGAAACTTTTTCAATACATACTTCCTATATAAATATGTCGATGATGAGAACGTAAACTTACTTTATTCGACCAATGATTGTTTTGCTAGAGAACGTAAGAAACGAATGAGGGGCTTCTTCGCTCTGGTCAACTTGGAATCGTCTTTTGTATCACTTTCTTCAGCCAGTAAGGCTTCTTGGATTGATTGCACTTGTCGAACAAGTTTTCGCAGTTCCTGTTGACAGAAATTAGGTGTGGAGCTCACTGATCACTTCTACATCGACTGTTATAATCTAAAAGGAATATTGCTCAAAAGTTTATAGAAATGGGGCACGTAGTGGTATATAATAAAAGATAACCAAAAGTTTCCAAGGAAGAGGACTTTATGGGATTTGGGATTTGAACAAAGTTTTTTTTTTTAACATATAAGCTGCAGAATCAGATCAAGCATAAATGATACAATAGGAAATTTGTAGTAAGGTTTTCAAAGAAGAATAAATATCATTGCCTAGTAGCCAACAAGAAAATGGCAGCAATTGCAAACAATATATGATTAATGATAAACAACCAGTTGGTATAAGATAACTAACAGCAATTATGAACAAGGCAGAGAGAAAGAAGATCCTCATGAATCTGATACCAATAATCATAACCAGAAGGCCCAGAACCTTTATTCCTCTACTAGAAACAAACTCCATAAAGCTTCACAATTGCCTTATCTGCTGTTTTTTTCACTTTTCTTTTATTTATTTATTTTTGTCCTTCTGTCAGTTGTGGAACCTGACTTACATGGAACCTACATAGCAGGAGGACCAATAATTAATGAATGTAGAATTGCACCCCGACTGCGGAGGCACGGGGGACAGCCCACCAGCGGCAGTCTAGTTAGCCAATTGGAGGGCGGGGGTCTGAAGGCAGCGCCCTGGAAAAGAAAATTGCATTTACAGTCCATATAGTGTGGGTATTTTTGTAATTTTGGCCTTATTGACAGAAATTCTGTGACAATATGCATCTTCAGCTGCTTATTCTTTCAAGTATCCAAAAGAGAGAAACAAAGACAGTAAGAAAATGAGATTTGAGTATGAGAGGGTGAATGTAATTCTTGTTGATTATTAGTGGATCCGTAACCTGGTTATACTCCAAGGATGTAGGTATCACATTGATTGCCAGACCTTTGCAATCTACAATATTAATTACGCTGTGTCGCTACCACTTTCTCATCAAAAACTTCTTCAAGAAATACTTTTTTCAGTCATTTCAAGTTCTGCTTATCTCTCATCCTCTTTGGGGATCCATAACAAAACCTAAGAGCTCCCGAAGTGACCCATGCACCCATTTTTCACTCTGTTGGTTCTAGTCCCAACATCTAAATCAACATCCTCATATCTGTACCACAAAATGTCTCTCAATCCATAATAAGACACATGGTAATGGATGAAAACAAGAAACACGTAGCTGCCAAATGGAAAATAGCACGTTTGTAACGTAGCCTTCTTACAGTAAGCAACTTGCTAGTATTAACTCTGTTATTAGTATCATATTATAAATCAATTAATAGGTTACTATCTTGATTTTATTGACCCAGACTGCTATTCATGCTCATATACACCCATCTTTGACGAGAGGTAATGACTCAACAATATAGTTGGATGCTCATATTCTGATTATACATAAAATGGTTTTAAAATGTAGCTTTACCTGTCGGTCATATTCAATATTATGAACTGAGTAGACTTCTTTTGTGATTGATTGATCTCTGTAAATAAGGCCGTCAAACCATCTGGCCGCTACCTCTATATGATTTCCAGATCCCTGTTAGAAACTCCCATTACAAAGAATTTATCAAATTAAAATGGCATAAGAGTGTAGCACCAGTACAACACAACTACTTTGAAGTCTATTATCCAATTTTACTATCTAAAAGTATCTTGCTTAATATAAGGGATATAGAAATTGTTCTCCTACCTCATCATCAATGTTCTCTTCATCCTCATATGTCATATCTTCTTCAGCTTCATCGGCTTCTATAAATTTTGATGTCCCAGCAGTTAAAGCCTGTAGCCTATTATTATCCCCGTCTCTAGAAGCCTGAATTAGAGCCTCCATTAGCTCTGGTTCTGCTTCCCGCAGAAGTCTTCCTACCATAAGGTATAAGATGATCAGCTCGTTATTATGTACTAAATGAAAAAAGTAAAGAGTGGCATTTTTATAATTTTCGCATAACTTCAATACAAGGGATAATAGATAGGAGAAACAAGAAACTAAATACAGCAGCATGACAGCAGCAGCAAAAAATTACATATGTAAATGATAATGGTGCAAAGAAAGATTAACAACGCATTTGGAACTAAATGCCTCCTAGTTTTTCCCCTCCTTTTTGCATATAACTACCATAATAACTATATGCGCCTAAAGTGCATGTCCATTTTATTATGATGGATCAGTTTCTTCAAAATATACCAGTACAATCCAAACTAATGATGTACCAATATTTATAATCATGGATCCAGATAGCAGAGAAATAACTCGACTATGATTTCTCATTTAATAGCAGTAGGTCACTAGATGTATATAATAAAACATCGTGGAGTTACTTGGCTGAACTTTCCCGTTCCCACTAAACAAGCTTGTTCTTGTCATTTAACTCTAAATTGATTTCCAGAAGTCTACTCTATTGATGAAGTGCAGTATTGTGGCACTTCACAATCTTAAAAGCTTAAAATAAATTTAAAGTAGAAAAAAGTTTTCGTGACCTGATGCCATCTTTCGAGCACTATAATCGTTGTTCAGTAGGCTTAAGAGACTTTAAATAGCAAGCTGCTTCATCGAATCAAACCAAGAGCAACCTTATCCACATCTTAAAAGAATAGTAGAGCTCTATGCAGCGATAATTTTGGGCATTTTCTCACTTTTTTGCAATGGAGGCACTAGGTAACTCATAGGTCAGGGCTATATTTTGATGATATTAGGGCATCTAACTGCTCAACTTGACTGCTTGGTACAGAACTAAATGAAGAATGGACCAAACTTTTACACATGTTTCTCCACAAGGGCATATGCTCAACAATCTGTTCAATGAAACAGTTTTAAATAAAGACTTTCCTATTGCTCTATGTTTGTACCTTAAAACAAGAAATGGTTGAGAAAAAAATTCTGCCACATTTCCTCTATGGGTGAACTATAAT